ACAGTCCTCAACTGCATATATAATTGTCAAAAGTCATGTTTCCAAGGGGACAACAAAACAGGTTAATTTAATTTTAATAATACATTTATTTAATCCAATATATTCAAAATGTTATCATTTCAATTTGTAGTCAATACAAAATACGAGATATTTTACATTTTTTAGTTCGTAAGCAGTCTGAAATACTTGGGTTTTTTGGTTTTTTTTATTTTTTTGAGACAGTCTGTAGTTCAGGCTGGCTTTAAACTCACCATGTAGTCTAACTGAGTGCTGAGACCATAGGTGTGTGCTACCATGCCAGACTACTTTGGAATCTGATGTGTGTTTTACAGCACATCTCAGTATAGAACTGATACATTTACAGATAACCACAGCACTAGAAAGCAGGGATTGAAAATGAACACCAGAGCCATCTATGCATTTACACATTATTTTATACAACTTTTATACACACTTATTTTAAAGAAAAGCAAAGCTGATAATTGTGTTGTAAGATTTAAACTCTTTTGGGCCAAGCTCTCTTGCAACTTCTGCAGGAGAAGGCAAGACTGAGGCTATCTCAAAACTCCATACTTTTTGTTTAGTCAGAGCCTGAGATTTCCATTCAGCTATCTGAGGATTGCACTGCCATGTCAGATGAATCTGAAGTCTTAATTAAAAAGTACAAGTTGTAAATCATGAAGCTGCTAAACTCTTCATATTTTTATTTCTCAATTAGTACACTTATTTCTTGACAAACAAAACAATGAAGCTTTACATTTAAATGTGTAATAAAACAATTTGACAGCATGGAATTCCTTATCCTTTTAGACAAAATTGGAGGAAACCAGTTGCAGTTCAGTAAGGGAACAGAGCAAGTAACTTGTTTACATAAATGATTGTTGACCCTACTCTCTTGGTATTTTGAGTCGGATCCTTTTACTAGTTGCTCAATATAGAGTATCATGCCCCTGACCATTAGTTGTCAGTAGCACCCTTCGTCCTAGTAACAAAAGAAAAAATGTCCCCATCATCCCCAAAGTCCTCTGTTTCAGAATGCACCACCCTCCCAGTTTGAGAGACACAGCTTGAGGCTTTTGGTAAAATCTGATCAGTTAACAAAGCACATGTAGTGTGATACAGAATATTCTGTATTCTATAGTTTCTCTCATTAGCTAAAAAGAAATAATTATAAAATCAATAGGTAAAGAGCCAGGTGTGGTGGCGCATGCCTGTAATCCTAGCACTAGGGAGGCTGAGGCAGGAGGATTGTTGCAAGTTCAAGACCAACCTGGGCTACAAAGGGAGCTCAAGGCCAGCCTGAACTGCACAGCGAGACCCTGTCTCAAAAAGACAAAAAAAAAAAAAAAAATCAGTAGGTAAAGACCCAAAAGGAAAAAAAAAAAATCCTCAAACCCAAAGGTGTCTGTGGTCCAAATGGCTTTACTGTAGTTTTTTTTTTTTTCCTATTAAAAGCTAACACCCACCTTTGTGCCAGTCAGATTTTCCCATTGCTATGAGCAAATACCTGGGGAAAACAACTTAGGGCAGGAAATATTTATTTTGGCTCATGGTTTCACAGATTTCAGTCCATGGTTGGCTGGTCCCAAGACAGAAACAGCACAGCTGAAGGGAAAGCTGCTCACTTCATGGCTGACAGGAAGCAGAGCAGAAGAGAGGAAGCTGAGTGAAGGAGGTGGGGAGCAGATCTTGCCCAAAGGTCAGGTCCCCATGCTCCACTTTCTCCAATTAGGTTGCACCTCTCAATGGCCCATCTGGCTTATTGAGGTTCATGCCCTCACCACCCAATCACACATCCAGAATCTTGATCCAGTGAAACTGACGATCAGGATTAACTGGCACAACCTTAAAGAATGTCTCACGTCTCTGAGTTTTTATTTTTGACCTCTAAGAGGAGTCTTACGTAATGTTCTGCTTCCATATTCCCATACATGTCTTCTGCACTATCGGAAATCTAAGTCTGAATGAGTTGCCTTGTTTTTCTTAGCGTTAACAGTCAACTCAGGGATACACTTTGAATTACTGGACTTGTTGTGGGAGTGTTTTTCTTTTTCTTATTTATTTATTTATTTATTTTTGGTTTTTCTCCAGTACCGGGAACCGAACTCACGACCTTGCGCTTGCCAGGCAGGCACTTTGCCGCTGAGCTAAATCCCCAGTCCCTCTTTTTCTTTTTTAATGAAAGCACAGGTTTTTAAGTGGAACCTAGGGGACTATAGGTTGAGACTTAACATGTAGTTTTTTTTTTTTGCCAGTATGGGGAATCGAACTCAGGACCTTGAGCATGCCAGGCAGGTGCTTATGCTGCTGAGCTATATCCCTGGCCCAAGACTTAGCATGTAGAGTCATTAGAATGGCAGTTATAACTAAAGAAACATACATTAGGTAACAATAGTTGATATCTGAGGTTGAACCTCCTTGGGTCTAGGGACCTGGGCCCGTGGTAAGCGGCGACAGTGAAGAAAGAGGACACCGGAGACCAGGCTGATGGCACAGATCTATTTTATTGCGGAAGTAGCAGGCATTTATAGAGTAGGCTAGAGGCGTGGCAATGGAGGCGGGTCAGGGGCGTAGTTTGGAGGCGGTACTTTTGGCCTAGGGGCTGTGTGGAAGCAAGAGGTCAGAGCTGGCCAGCCTAGGCGGGGCTTTTACTCGGTTTGCCGAGGAGTCTGAGTTTGCTCAGACTCGCCTTTCCGCCACAGCTGTCAACCAGACCTCTGGACCTCTCTTTCCCACAGATATCAATTACACCATTATGATTAGCTTTCTCCCATACAGAACAGCAAAATTACTCATGACACTAACATCTACTAACTGTAGGTTGGAGTGTTCAGAAAAAGAAAGGCAAAATTAATGACTAACATAAAAACTGAGGTGTGAAATGATATCAGTAATTATTACTTTAGTATATCTCTTTTTGAACACAAAATTCACCACAAAAATCATTATGTACATTTAAAATTGCACTGTTTTTTCTGCTAATCTTGACATCTAGGTGTTATGGTTTGTGTCTGCATGTCCCCTCAAATCCTTATGCAGTCATAGGGCAGGCTTCTATATTTTTGATTGATCCACTATTCAATGCTGGGATTATGGGTGTGAGTGCTACACCTGCCCCTGGGGTGGGTATTTTGCATACAATATAAGGAAGGGAAAGAGGCTGCTTACCGCTGCTTCCCCCTTTTGCTCTTGTTGTTTTGCTGTATTCTGCTGCCAGCTGCCATGAACTGTTGCGCTCTGCCACTCTGCCTTGGAGCCAGCTGATTATAGACTGAAACCTCCAGAAACTGTGAGCTAAATAAACCTTTCCTTCCTCAATTTTGGGCATTGGGTATTTTGTCTCAGCAATGAAAGAAAAGTAACCAAGACACTGGGTGACCTCACAAATATAT